CCCTTTGTGTCTCTCTGGGAAGATGTTCTGCTCCTGAATCAGCTGGGTGGGTCTTGCCTCTAGCCTCTTTGCAGGGAGTTCTGCTGAAGGGTTCCGTGCTGGGCCTGCATGCAGCCTGGGTCAAGTGAGGATCCCCGGGCCCCGGGTCGTCTCACTCACTCGCCAGCCTGCGCTCTGGTCTGTTCAGGATCCCCCTGCAGCCCTCAGTCATCTCACTCACTTGCCGGGCCTGCGCTCTGGGTCTATTCAGAATCCGGAGAACCCCAGGTCGTCTCACTCACTCGCTGGGCCTGCGCTCTGGGTCTGTTCAGGATCCCGTGGTCCTCGGTCATCTCACTCACTCGCCTGGCCTGCGCTCTGGGTCTATCCCTTTCTTATATCGTAAACTTGGCAGTTTGCAGACTCAGCCCATCAGAGTTCTGGGATCACAGGCAAAGACCATGGTGCCCGGCATCACAAAGGACTTCATGTGAGCAATAAATCAACCTATTCATTTATTTATGTATTTACTTGGTATAAAATCTCACAATGTAGCTCAGACTCATAGTCTTGTCTCAGCCTTCCTAGCACTGGGATTAGAGACATGTACCATCATGCCCAGTTTTAGTGGCTGGATCCACGTGGGGTCGTCGTGGCATGCAGTACTGGGTATCTGTCGAACCTGGATCCTTGTGCTTGCCAGGCCGGCACTTGGACCTCTGAGCTATGTGCCCAGCCATATCTTTTTTTTTTTAACATAACTTGAGATTTGATGGTGGTGGTTGTGGTTATTTTGGTTATTCTAGCTTTGTCTAACCTATTGTGACTTACAAGGGAGTTGGGTATCTGTATGCATACCCCAAATAGTTAAGTATGTGGTATCAGTATAGAATGATTCCTTGGATATATTGAGGAAAAAAAGCAAGACACAGAACAGAGTAAATAGTATGCTTCATTTTGTGTTAGAGTAAAGATAAATATTTTTACACAAAGAAAGAAAGAAGCCAGAAGCTCAAGAAAATTAGGATATTGGAACTGAATTAAGAGGATAAGCATATGAGTGACATTTCTGTGATTTAACTTTTTATACAGTTTATTTTTGAATTACATATTTTGTATATTTAGAGATAAAAGTAATTTTAAAGGAAAATGACCTGGAATTGGATTTCAGAACAAACGTTGTAGCCTACCTCTTAAGTTGTAGCTACTGAGATGCGGGTATAGATCAAGTGGTAGAGAGTTTGCCTAGTATGCACAAGGTATTGGGTTTGATCTCTGCTGCCACCACCACCACACACACACACACAAAAGTGACATGTGCCAGTAATCCCAGCACATGGGAGGCTGAGGCATGAGGATCCTCATGAGTTTGAGGCCAGCCTAGGCGACATAGTGAGACCCTGTTTCAAGCCTCCAACTCAGTGTCATGGGCTGAGAATGTAGCCCTGTGGCTCCGCACCTGCCAACCCTGGGTTGATTCCCCAGAACTACCAAAAAAGAAAAGAAAAAAAAAAAAGAAAGAAAGAAAAACAGTTGCATTAATTACAGCCAAATAGAGGTAAAAGCTGTGCAAAGATTCTCTATATTCACCTCCACATGAAATCCACAAACCTGGATTAGATCATGTAGGGAACTTGCATGAAAATCTGTAGAGGACAAATAAGAAAATTTGAATTGACTTGGATATGAATTGTGTTATAGAATATTGATAAGTTTCTTAAGTGTGATTATATAACAGGTTGTCTTTAGTCTTAGAATATATGTATTAGAATTAATAAATATCTATATTTTCTATCTCTATATATATATATTTGTTTGTTTGTTTGTTTGTTTGTGGCTGACTCAGCCCACCCTGGGGGCAGGGCTGGTGCAGCATGTAGTGTTGGGGATTGAACTGCAGTCCTTGCGTGCTTGCCTAAGTAGGTGCTTTAGACCACTGAGCTATCTCACCAGCCCCCTTAGGGGATATATTGAAATATTTAAGGATCATAGTGTCATTCTGACAGTGTATTTTTTTTAAAGTGGTGTTTTAGCATATTGAACCTAAATGGTTTTTTTCCTTTTTTTTTTTTTTTTTGTACTTTTTGATACAGGTTCTAGCTGTACAGCACAGGCTAGCTTTGAACTCAGTGTATAGCCCAGGCTGACCTTGAACTTGAGGAGCTCCTCCTGCCTCAGCCTCTGAAGTGCTGGGATTACAGATATGTACCACCATGCCTGGCTTCTTTTCACATTTTTAAATGGGAAAAGCAGAAAGATAAATATCAAGGAAAACAAAGTAAAATTAAGGACAATTTTTT